TGTAAGGGAAACAGTATATCCAATACATGTACTGTTTATGCTCTGAATTCTAGTATGTGTTTGGTTTAGTTTGAAATAGGTCTATAGAAACATGTTATGGTTTGGAGTGTTTGGAGAAGAGCCCTTGTAATGGCCTCCGTGATGTCTATCACTGCTTGAAATTTCTGTCAGCTGCCTCTACTGGTCCCAGAAGAGTTGCTCTGGCAGAAAGAACTTCCTGCCTTCTGCTAGGATAGATTATCATTTGCTTTCTTGCAAATGGCTAGTGACGTCCACCCTGTCATCCACAGTGTGCACACTGCTGTGGCAGTCAGCTTATCCTGGTTCGTCTGTGCATTTCCCACACTTATACTTAGAAGGTTGTTGAGAAAGAGATGGGTGACAGGCGCCGCCTATTCCAACTACTAGCCCTTCTCTCTGTACACTCTTTATCTTTACATCTTGCAGCTGAGTGGATGCAGATGAAAACATGCTCTTGTCTCCCATTGTCCTTTTGAACTTACATTAGGAATTGCTCTTGAGGCCTTTTGTCCTGAAAAGTTTCACAATTTCACAAAATAAAAATTACTCCCTAGCCACCTACACTAATGCCTTTAGTTTGTTAGATTGTTTGTGTGGCTCAGTACTTAGTAACAACATGGTACTGTGAGACCTAGGAAAAGATGTTTTAAGATTTATTTTTTTCTATGTATGCTTTTCTGTGGATGTATGCCATGTGTGCAAGTGCTCACCGAGGCCAGAAAAGGGCCTTCTCAGCAGGTATGCTCTTAACCACTGGGTCATGTCTCCAGCCCCACCAAAAACCTTATTTTTTGTAACTTGTATCCCAAATTTACTATTAAACTGGTAGCTGCAGGATCCTAGGAAAGTCTTACTTTCTCTTTAGACTACCTTTTTTTTTCTTTCATTTATAAGAAATGACTTTGTTATTCTGTCCCTGAGATAGTAACTACACTGTTAGGCAATGAGTGTTAGTGGGTGACTAGGGCATGCTTGCCTTCTGCATGACTTTTGAGTCTGGCATCTATTTGCGGTCTTCTCTGAATTCGGAGTCTTGAAATGATGGACAGTCATATAACTAAGCAGTAGGCATTTTTGAGGGTATCAGTCCCTCCTACACGTAGCTCTCGGGGATGCACCAGGAAGACTGAGGATTCAGCACTAGTTATCCTCACGGCTTTGAGTTTATCAGGATGTTACTAAGCAAATGCAGCTCTTGGAGATCTCTGGAGAGCCACATGTAGGTCCTCAAGTCTTCCTGGAGAAGTCAAACGAGACAGGGTTCCTAGCAGCCAGCATGAGTGAGATGTTGGTAACCTGCGTAGCACAGCCTGTGACATTCTCAAGCTCCTTACCACAATTACAAAACCCAGCAAAACAATCAGATGGTCAACAAAACCACAACATGGCAACTTAGGTACAGTGAGCAATGCTTCAGAATATGGTTTTCCCCTTGCAAATATTGTAGACAGTGCCTGGACTTCCACTTTCCAAACACCACCGAGGACCAGCTCTCCAAGCAGGCCTTTCTCAAGAGGGATAGCCCAGGCTTGCCATTCCTTCTCTGCACACACAACATTCCAAAGTTTGCTTCTGCTCTTTGAGCCTTTGCCAGATGAGACCACCTGAAATAGTGAGAATAGACGGACTGTACAGATTGACTCCAACATTCTCCTCCTTGCTCTGCAAATAGTTTGTTTGGTGACACTAGCTAAGTCACTTATCCTATTTAAATTCATTCTCCGTATCTGTGAATGCCAGATAATGCTGTGTTTCTAGAAAATGATTATGTACAAATATGCTTGTGATATATAAAATCATTTGTCCCTGAAACCACTTAATCAAATGCTTATACATGCAATATATTCATGTTTGAAAAATTTTTTGTACTCCATTATATGTGCAATTTTATGCATTAATTGAAAATAAATTTAAAATGTTTCTTAATCCACAGACTACTCAGTGCTGTAGAAAACCTGGTGGTCTAGTTAATGGTTGAGGACATCTTGACTTTTGGAATACCGTCTAGTTGGAAAGAATTTGAACATAAGTTTTCTGTTCTAATAAATTTGTAAGTGCAGTTTCTGGAGATTGTTGGAAGAGAGCAGGGAGTATGAAAACCGTATGTGCTCTTGACTGCTGAGTCATCTCTCCTGCCCTTATGTTGAGTTCTTGAATTGTGTGTTGAAAGTTTTTGAGTGGTTCACACCAGCACTTTGTTTTCCTTTCTCTAATATTAATTACTTAGGTTCGTTTCTCTTAATAGTGATGCTGAAATGCAGGTAAGAAGGCAGCTATCTGTGGGTGATAGTAAACACACCTGCCTTTACAGCAAGCAGCTGTGGTCATTGTGCATTGGCTATTAGCAAGAGCACAGGAGCAATAAGGGTCTTTATTTGTCATATGAATGATAGACAGTGTCACTTGTGAATTTTTTATTGGGCTCGCTAACGTTTTTATCTTCCTAATGGTCACACTGAATTATGATTCCTATTAAGATGATAAAATTCTTGTTATTAATTTATGCTAGTAATGGTAAATGTAACGATCTATTCAGTCAAATCTCTGAACTTGTAGCAGTTTTTGATTAATGTAGAAAAAATGGTTTAAAATCATAGAAAAAGAGTCCCTTATAAAGTATTCTCTTCGTCTTCCTAAGATCTGGTGCTCTGTTTTATGTGTTTTTATGTATGAGTATATTGTTTATATCTGTGTTCATGTGAAAGCATAGTCATAGCACAGCATTCCAGTATGGATGTCAGAGGAAAACCTTGGGGTGTTGCTCCTTACCCTTCTACTTTGTTTGAGTCTGGGTCTTGGACTAGAATGATGGCTCAGTAGTTAAGAGCACTGGCTGCTCTTACAGAGAATTTGGGTTCTATTTCCAGCACCCACACAGCAGCTTTCAACTGTCTGTAACTCCAATTTCAGGGGATCCTAAATATTCTTCTCTGTCCTTTGCAGGTAGCAGGCACACCTGTGGTAGATATACACACGTGCAGCAGAGCGCCCATACACAGAAAGCAAATAAAATAGATCTTTAACACAAAGACTGAATGCCACTGCATATGGCCTGCTGGCCGAGAACTTCTGCAGATTCTCCTGTCTGTGCCTTGTGTCCCCCCTGTAGAGTATGCTGGCATTACAGACCCTTATACTGCTGCTGCACCCAGCTTCCTTGGATTCTAGAGAGCCAGCTCAGGAGGTCACACTTACCCATCTCTCCAACCCTGGAAAATTTTGTTCTCTAAAAATAATAATTTAAAGATACATTTACAATACCTTTATTCAGTATCTTAGTTACTGTTCTGTTGTCGTGAAGAATCATGGTGAAGGCTAATCTTCAAAAGAAAGCATTTAATTAGGGACTCACTCACAGTCTCACAGTTTTAGATAGTCCATGATCATCATGGTGGGAAGCAGAAAGGCAGAAAGGCATGGAGCTGGAGCAATGGCTGAGAGCTTTGCAGCCTGGTATTCAGGCACAAGGGAGTGATGACGGGGCTGCGATGGGGCGGGGTGGGGGGCAGACAGACTGACAGAGGCAGAGAGACAGAGAGACAAAGGCAGATGTTGGACTTGGAATGGGCTTTTGAAACTTCAAAGCCCACCTCAGTAACACCTCCTCCATCAAGGCTATAGATCCCAATCTTTCCCCAACTGTCCCCTGCCTGCTGACTAAGCATTCAAATATACATGAACCTATAGTGGCTTCTCATTCAGGCTGCCATACTCAGATCCGCATGCCATTAATTACTAGATAGCTTTATTTTTATTTGCAACATTTATTTATTAAGCCAAAAATTTTGTAAGATACACTTCTTTTTTAACAGAAATCTAAAAGTGCATTGTCTTGATGAAAATGTTTTTCGTTTTGTTTTGAATGATGAGTTTATTTTACCTATATTATATTGATTTTCTGTATTAAGTTATTTTTAGAACTTGAGATGCAGAATTACCTTAGTTTATTAACTGATTCCTATGTTTCATAAATCCTATGACTAAAGATTGTGTATGATTTAGAGGTCATGCAGGACCTTTTCAGTTTTCTTGTATCTCTAGGCAATGGAAAATTAAGAGAGATAACTTGATATTTATAATGTTGAGATGTTAGTTTGACTGTTTTAGTCCATGACTGCTCATAATTCTGGAAACAGAAATGCTCCTACTCTTCAGTAGTTGCTGGAAAGGATGAGTCTTTTATGAATTTTCCAACATCCTTTTGCATGATAAATATTGTCCATCTGTCTACAATAACTTTTATAGATATTTGTCAATAAATCCTTAGTCTGTCTGCCTCTATTAAGAAGAGATACTAGACTGAATGAAAGGAAAAGCCACTATAAAAAGCCACTAAAAGATGCATATTTTCTGATGACATTGTTAGCATTGCTAATTTTTGTTCCAATTATTGTTTAATAAACTAAGCAACACATAAGTGATACAAATGTGATGTCTTTTAAGATTTCTAGTTCAAGATTTTATGAGTAGGAGAAGTAAGACTTTTTCTGAAATCTGCTTTCAATTTGTTATGTTTATTTTAGAGGCTAAGAAGTAAACTTGCAGTTAGGCCAATGATTGCTGCTGCTGAGTAGATAGAGCTCGTTAGGAGGTCAGGTCATAATATGCCTCAAATCTGGCATGGTTTACAGGTAAAGCTGGCTGATGAAGTGATAGCCACAAAAGTTTAACCCTTACGGATAAAATAGGCATTTTATGAAAGCTTTTCTCTTATGTTTGAAATCTCACTTCAGAAGCCGTTTTCGCTGAGCCACTAATGAACTTTATTTGCTATTAAAATAATTTCTTACTACATGGCTTCCTTATTGGATAACTCACCTGAAATGCCTTTATTTCGGTAATTCTTTGTTTAGTCTTACCTAAATTAACTAATCAAAAGCATCCCCATAAAATGATAAAGTTTGTAATCACTATAGTGTAGCATGGAGTGGTGATAGCATTTAATTTCTTGTTGAATCTTCCTTTTTTATTTTTTGCAGATAAACTACTAGTCATAACTGTAGCAACAAAAGAAAATGATGGATTCCACCGATTTATGAATTCAGCCAAGTATTTCAATTATACTGTGAAGGTATGATTTATCTTTCAATATTGGGACTTGCTAGAAGGTTTCTTCATTTCAGTTTGAAAACAAGAATAGGAGAAAATGAGAAATGCTTTCAGATTCCACTTCTGTGGACTAGAGTCAGCTTTTGAAATGTGTGGTATGGTGTATTAGTCGTGGGTGGCACTGAAGAAGTATGACCTGCTTATGTATTAATTTTCTTTATAATATATATAATATAAATTTATAATATAAATAGCATTGTACTTTTTTTATAAATAAATAGTTGGTTACTATCCAACTTTCTTTTGACATTTTTATGCTATTGTTACCATTGGCATTTTCCTCAGGATGAATTTTTTATTTTATTCATAGGTTCTTGGTCAAGGGCAAGAGTGGAGAGGTGGCGATGGGATTAATAGTATTGGAGGGGGCCAGAAGGTGAGATTAATGAAAGAAGCCATGGCACAGTATGCCAGTCAGGAGGATCTGGTTATCTTGTTTACTGAATGGTAAGAGAATTATCCTATGGGGTTTTCAATCTGTATTGTATTACTTTGAAAGATGAAATTTGTAACTGAAGTTTAAATGTTGAATTATTTTACTGACAAAGAATCATTATTGTAATAAGTATATTTTTTCTCAGTTAAAAATTCTCTAAAAAGCAACCTCTGTTTCTAAGCTTCAACTTAAAAGTAAGATTGTTTTATGCTCAATTTTTTTCATTAACAGGAACTTTTTTCTATGTAAAATAAATTTATTATGCATGAAAAATCACAAGCTGGGCCAATCTTATATAAAAGGCAGTGAGTTATAATAAGAACTAATGAGAAAAAAGGCGTAGTTTAACGTTTTTGTAAAATTCATTTTAATCTTGAGTTAAAAGTGTGATAGAGAGCATACTTAAGTATACAATTGAGGGAGGCAACAAAATGGATTCTGTTTAACTGTGAACAGAAGTATCTTGTAAAATTAAAAATACAAGATAGATAAGAGACCCTGTACTGTCAAAAACAAAGAACCTTTCAGGCATTAATTTCTTTGCATTTATTTACTTTTGATCTTGAACTGAAATCCAAAGGAATACACATCCTAAGCATGCATTTTGCCATTGAGCCATCCCACAGTCCCCAAATGCCATTTGAATAGTGCCATATTGTCCTAATTAGTTTGAAATACCTATACTCTTTCCTGAACTTCTTATGTATCTTAAAAACACTAAGTTGTGCCATTTACGTAACCTCTTTGTGTCTTCCTATTGTTACAGTGTTGGTACTGATCATTCATTTTAAGTCCTGTTGACTTTACCTATAGGTATAGGAAAGTCATCTTAAGTCTTTTCTTTTTCAGTAAATATTATTTACAGATAAAAATAAAGGTGGTGGTTCGCTAGAAAAACTATATGTGAGGATGGCATAAGCTTTGTAGAAATAATGACATTCCAGTGCCACACTTAAAACTTCCATGCTTAGATTTTGATGTCTTCCAAGCAGGAGCTTTGCTTTCTTGTTTGTACCTTTTATCGTAAGATGAATTGTGATATGGGAGGTATGTTATGGCTTGTGCCCTGTGAAGTTTTCTATATCATCTAGTATTGTCATATGTGTGTGTATACATATATACACATTATAGAATATCTAGATTAAATGCTGAACACATATTTCTTGTACTCACATCACCAAGCTTGAACCTGACCAGAAGCAAATTTGTATTTTGATTTGCAGTAGATACTCTGTAAATAAGCAACCTCATTGAAAGTAATTGATTTTTACGTTCCTGAGCCCCTGAATTTGAGGAACCTGGTTTTCCCTATGCTTCCCTTCCCAGCCTCCTTTCTTCCCTACTCATAAGATTTAGTCTTAGAAAGTTGGCAGTATGGGAGTCATTTGTTCCTGACAGACAGAAGGGGGGCGTTATGAGACATCTGTGTCCTGGGACAGGTCAGTGTGGTTCAGTTCCATTGTGTTTTCTACTCAGCTTGGTAGAAAAGACAAGAGTAAGGAAGGTGCGGTGTCTCTAGGTACAGTCAGGGTCAGTCATGTGTCAGCGGACTGGCTAGATATTCCTGAGAGCAAAGCTTTAAAAGCAATACCTGTAGTTAAGGTTTATTTGATGATGCCTCCTCCCTGGCAGTAGTGACAGCTTAAGTGTGCAAACACGAAGGGCTTGTTATTAGTGATGGTCAGGTTTCATTTTATTAGTAAGAAGGAATCGAAACACACCACTGTGGATCCTTGTTTCTGTACTGTCTTAACTCTTTATTTTTTCCAAGAAAGACTGAAATTGTTAGCTGTCTCTTTAAATTTAGTTCACTGTGGTCAGTTCATTGGTGCAAATGTGCTAAAAGAAGTTAAATAGGAAATGGGTGTGTTTTCGGTTTTCACACTGTCTGTGTGTTCTTTTTGATATTCACTGGCTTTAGTGAGGTAGTCATGGACTCACAGAAGAACATGATCCCCAGAGGCTTTGTCAGCGTGTGATTGCAGATGTTTGCTATGTACGATAGCTGTGACTGGTGTGTGTGTGTGTGTGTGTGTGTGTGTGTGTGTGTGTGTGTGTGTGTGTGTGTGTGTGTCTGTGTGTGTGTCTGTGTGTGTGTGTGTGTCTGTGTGTGTGTGTGTCTGTGTGTGTGTGTGTGTCTGTGTGTGTGTGTGTGTCTGTGTGTGTGTGTGTCTGTGTGTGTGTGACTGTGTGTGTGTGTGTGTGTGTGTGTCTGTGTCTGTGTCTTTATCTTTTGTGCTGCAGGTACTTAAGGTTTCATAGTGTTGTATTGGGGTCTGTCTCTGGAAATACCAAGATGTCTCTGAGGGTGGAGACCTAAGACAATAGTTTTCAGGTGTGGGCCTGCATCTGTTTCATTTTGTTAGTTTTTATTTCAGCCGATAACTTACAGTTAATGGTTGCAATGACTGTAATTTCTGTTTAATTCTATGCATGTGGTGGATTAGGGAGGAATGTGTAAGTTACAGGAGACTTCTGTGGCTTTTCTCCTAGGCTACCCAGTAGCCTTTACTTCCTGTTTAGATACGATGTAATTCATTTATTGGTTGAGTCACTTAGTTGTTTATCTTCAAGCTCCTATGGGTCTGTACAGATGATAAAGTCCTGAGTTCAGCTTATAAAGGAGAAGATGAAGACTGGTTTAAGGGAGGCTTTTTTAACGAGGTTCATAGAATAGAATGGATGTTTGGGTGGGTAAGGACAAGGAAAGGATAGTGAGAGATAACTGGAAATAAATGATATTTTCCTGTCATGTTGGTATCTGGAGGAGCTGACGTTGGAAATGGGCCTTGGACCTAGGTAGAAAATACATGTTAAGTAGATGCTCATTATGTAGATACACTTTAATCCACATGCAAGAACTGAGATTAAGTTCCGAATAGGATAGTACGTGGAGATTATTTGTGTGTGCCTGATCCACGTGGATTTTATTTTATAAGATAGGGATCCATGAATGGGTCTTTTGTGACCAATTATTGTTCTGTAACTCAGAGACCTTGCTTAGCTCATTTGTGACTGCTTTTGTATCAGCCTGGCAGAAATAAAATTTTTATAGAGTCTATATGGCCTTCAGAGTCCAAACTGTCTTCTGCAGGCCACTGTAAATATTTGGTGACTCATATTTTAGGCCATAGCAATTGACTCTGGGGATTGGTGACTTCAAGAGAGTGTTAGACTACTTGAACAAGGAGTGCGTATGACAGGGATGACAGAGCTCAGGGAAGGTGCATGTGTAGCCTGTGGGGTCTGTAAATCAATCTGGGTCACTGTCCTCAGGGAGAGGAACTGGATAGTAGAGGTAAGACAGAATCAGTAGGACACGGCAAAACAATTCTGATGGAAGCTGCCATGAAAAGAGGCAAGTTCAGGATGGATGACGGAATTCCACCCAGTCTGGGTAACTGTGCTTGAAGGTACCACAGAAATAATACAGAAGCACAAACACTCATAAAAGTCTCAACGACCTGTTGGAGATAGAACTGTGACATGCCTGGGTTCAATATTATGGGTTTTGCAGGACTTGGGGCTATTTACCACGCTTAAATGTGGAAAGTTTTATTTTATTCTTCATATTTAAATGGACTGAGTGCCTGTGAGAATTATTTTATGACCTCTGTGCATTCGTTTTTTGAAAAAAAATATTTTTTTTACATTTTTGTGGTTCAAATAATTTTAAGTAGAAAAACTTTCTTTGAGAAGTTTTAAATAGGCACAAAGACATTTTCTGAGGAATTTAAACAGACACCTGCTAGAATGAAATGGGGAATTTTTCACCATCCTTACCTTTTTAGCTACGTGTGGTGGCACCTGCCGGCACTGCCAGTACTTGGGAGGTGAAGGCAGAGGGACCTTGAGTTCAGGGCCAACCTGGGCTTCCTAGTGTGTTCTTGCCTTGCCTCGGCTACATAAGACCCTTTCTCGGAGAAAGAAGTATTTTACATTTTTAGTCAAAGTAATATTCTTAACTGTATGAAAATAATTTTTTTCATGGACCTTTAAAGAATTGTATTTTAAAAGTAATGTTTATAAAGTGCTAACTTATCAAATTAAACCTCATACTCCTTGTGTAAGCTATTGACCTCATTAATAGTCTGAAATACAGTTCTATCTTAGTTCTTCACTAGAGTTTCAAAGATAAAAAACATTTGCTTCCCAAACGGTAACTTTTGGGGGGCAGTACTGGGGATGATACCCAGACTTCCCTCACTGGAGGCCAGTGGTGAACCTGGAGTTAAACTTCCAACCTCATTGAGTATATGGTGCTGCTTTCACATTTTCTAAGGTTAGATTAGAAATCGTGGTTCTTTGACCTACCAAGCTACATTTCTTTACTGTTTTCAGAAACTGTGTTGGCCTCCTGGGGCTCACTGTATACCTGACTCAGAGTTTGAATTTTGGCGTCATCTTATTTTTTCTCTCTAACACACACACACACACACACACACACACACACACACACACACACACACACACACAAAACAACAACTAGTGCTTTGGAGTAAAACAAGTATGTTAAAGGTAGGAGTGATGAATCCCAGCCCCAGGGAGGCAGAAGCAGGCAAATCTCTGTGAGTTTGAGGCCAGTCTGGTCTACAAGAGCTAACTTCCAGGACAGGCTTCGAAGCTACACATACAAACCCTGTCTCAAAAAACAAAACAAAACAATCACATATCTTTAAAGTTTATTTTAAGCTCATACACACACACACACACACACACACACACACACACACACACGCACGCATGCACACTCATTCTTGCTCTGACTTTTCTAAGCAATTCCTCCTCCAGTTAATGACCAGCAACTGTCATGTTTGCTTACAAGTGTACAGTGTGGTAGGAGCTGGTAATCAGCAACATTTCTAGTCTCTTACCCTGATTTATGACTAAGGAATTAAACATGGTTAAACAACTGGCTTGGTGCTCTGATAGCTGACAGCAAAGCTTGGATCAGACTTCAACCACATGCTATGATAGACCTTTTGACTATGCTCTTAGTACTGCTAGCAACATTGATTGTGAAAAGACAAAAACTTATTCTACTATGTACCTTATGTCTGTAATCTTTCTGTGTCAGTCTGCCCATCTGGATTTTCATGAGCAGAAACTTAATTTTGGCATGCAGTAATTCATAGTAGAAATAAAAGTAACTGATAAAATTTAAATTTTCTAGAACAATCACAAGTAAGAAATTACCTGTTGTCAACATTGCTTTTAGCTATTATTGTTAAAAAAGGGGAGATGTCAAGAGTCATGAATTGTATGAGTAATTTTAGCCCTTGGGGTCGAGTTAAGAGGATTTCAAGTTTGGGGCATTCTGGGATATATAATGAGACTCGTCTCAAAATAAATTAGTAGATGTCAATTTTGTTGAACAGAATTACAGAATTTAGTTGTGCAGTTTTCCTCATCTTTGAGTCCGCTGGTCTACATTGTAAAGCATGTGCTTTCCCTAGTAAGCACCCAGTGCAGAGGAATGAGCAGAGCAGTGCTGACAGTGTCCTTTTTAAAGGACAGGACCTGCTGGTGATGCGTCCTAGTTCTGTCACACTGCTGGACAGAGTGAGTCATGTGGCGTGTCTTCCTTCGCAGTACTTTCTACTAGGGATTGCCATAGTTCAGCTTACATAAACGGTGCCACTATTAAAGGGACAGGTATTGTATCTGCTGAGAGCCTAATGGAGAACAGAACTTACAGTATTTTTGCTAAAAGTTACCTCAAATATTTTTTGGCTTTAAAAAATGTCATAGAGATAAGCAACAATGTGTTATATTTGGATAAAAATATAAGTACATTGAACTATAAATTACTAAGTCTTACATGTGCATATCCAGTAAATAGAGCTGCAGAGCATAGATGGAGTAGCTGTGTCTTCCTGACTGGTCCTCATAGTGCATCTGCAGTCGTAGCTACTAAGGAGTACTTGCAGATCTCAAGTTTATGAGCTTGTCCCTTCGCTTTGGCTACCTAGGATAACATTATCTTAGTGTCCTGCAGGCATTTGGCTTTCAGGTACACTGATGTAAAAACAAATACAGATAAATTTGACGTTGTAATAAGCTGGGACTTTCTTCGGAGAGTTTATGTTTCTCATAATGGTTTTCGCAGTTAATTTTCTGTTGGGTTGTGATTCAGTGAATTACCTTGAAACAAATAAAGTCCAGGAAAAAACCTGGTAAAATATTAGACTTTAAATTATTTTATTAATTTTAACCTGATTCAAATTTATAGAGCTTTAAAAAGATGAATTGTCTGATGAAGAGTCCATATTACATAGTATATGCTGATGACAGTGTGAGATATTTATCTAAACCAGTTTTCAGAGATAATGGTGGCTTGGTATACATGTCACTGAAATATTTGACTCTTAAGATGGAAACTTTTATAAGTGTTTATGTCTGTGCCTACAATTTATATGAATCGTAATACTTGCACACTGACTTACAATTTTTATTTTGGAGATAAATTATTATGTATTTTAATGAAAAATATCACATATTTGCATTTAATTTGTCACTATAGAGTAAAACCAAAATATGATGTAGTTTATATGATGTGAGGTGGGAGGAGGTTGTCTGACTTGTTTTCTAAACAGATGAGTTAATCCTGTGTGGATTCTAAATTCTCATTTTTTAGGAATATTTAAATTCTGAACCATACATTCTAAAATTTTTTTTTTTTTGTTTTTTTTTTTTTGGAAACAGTTTTGATGTTATATTTGCTGGTGGGCCTGATGAAGTCCTGAAAAAGTTTCAAAAGACAAATCACAAAATTGTCTTTGCAGCCGACGGGATTCTGTGGCCAGATAAGCGGCTGGCAGACAAGTACCCTATAGTGCACATTGGAAAGCGTTACCTGAACTCGGGAGGTATGAGCGATGCTGCTGTTGATTGGGAGGCATCCAGTCTCACAGCCGTGATTGTGCTATGATGTGCTCTGAAAGCTGTGTGCATCCCCATGCCATATCCATGTGTGTAGGCCATGGGGATGTCTGGATTTCCATGGTGCTCGTGAGAATTCACGTCTTCTGATTGCCATTTATTGAGAGGTTTGGGGTCAAGGACATTAAGTTTAGTGCACATCATTAAAAACAGCCACTTGTTAATGTGATCTGCTTTAAAATATGTTGTATTGAATTGCTTATTTTGGCTTTGTAGCCAACATTTTAAATAGTGTCTGAGTGTATAGAAATGTTGAATTCTCTAGTGAGTCACCGCAGATTAATTAACAATGATCACACACACGCCTTAATGATAAATGAAAATTTGACTTTGGGCATATTGTGGCTACAGAATTTGTTTTTCTTGAACTGAGGTTAATATAAACACATTAGGATGGAGGACACGTGTTTTGTGTAAGAATGACCTGTGAAAACCATTTCAAATGAGCGAGTTGATTTAGTGTATAAAACCAAAATTAAAAGAAAAAGTTGCAGATAGAAAACCAAGCATCAAGTTAGGCATTTACAATATGCAGCAGTATCCTGGCTGGGAGTGCAAACAAGAGACACCGTTGTCAAATCAAGACTCACAGCATCCTGCAGAAATGCACTGGGGAAGAAGCAGCAGTACAGGGTTGCTGAGAATCTCTCCCTCAGTGAGTTTCTGCTTTCCTGTTGCATTATGGGATGAACAATGGTAACCAGTGTTGGTTCAAGCTGAGTCATCCTGGCCCAGGACATAGTTTTGGATACACGTGATGAAAACATGCTTGAATCTGATACAAGAGAGGGCTCTTAGCAGTTCAGCAAGCTTAAATAAGACATGCTAGTTTACCAGTATAGTGTATATTATATGGCAGAGATATAAGTTAGGTCCAGTTGCAAGCCGTGTTGGGAAGTGGGTGTTTGGAGCAGTCTTTGATCCACAGTGGATCTTGTTCAGACAGCTCCATAAGTACTGTTTGAGGTAAGCATGTGTGGGCGGCAGACATAGCTTAGTCATCTATGGTGACAAGCTTGTCACTTCTCAGCAGCGACTCAAGCTCAGCCTTTCCATCTCTGCCATTTTACCAATCCGCCCCACAGTCATAATTTAGAACCTCTCAGTCTGTATGAATCATGGACCTCTGAGACCCCAAGTTTTAGTCTGTACTTTTAGCTCCCCTTTCTGCCATCCCAACACATATTGTCTGTGCCTTTGGGACCTCTCGACCCTGGAATATCTTACCAGACTGTTTGCCAACTCCGAGGGGCATTGTTGTACTCAAGTTAATATTTAGGATTGGCTGTGTTAGTCTGCTGACCTCACTGCCTTCCTATGAGCTGCCTGCTCACTCTTTCCCCTGCTGTTTCTCTGCCCTGACCACTGAGCTATCAAGCCCTCAGTCACAATAAATAACTCATTTTGCAGTTTAGCCCTCATTAGAGGTTTTAAAATGTAAATCTTAAAGATGATGTATAGCCTCGGATTAAGATATTTTTCATTCAATTATTTTTTCCTGGAAATTGCATACACATGATATCCTATTGTAGACATTCTTCTGGATAGCAAGCAGTATAGCCACTGGAGGGAATTTCTGAGGGACTGTTAGTGCTGTGGAGATGGCAGCCATTAGCAGGTAAGTGCTGCTGTCACACCTAACACAGGGCAAGTCCTCACGATAAAGCCCCAAGCTTCTATCTCCACGGATTATTAGGGAGAGGACAGCAACAAGAGCGTGCGCAGTCAGAGTGTGTGACTTTACAGACAGCTTGTGAGAGACATTTAAAGAGCATGAGTTGTGACTTAGTAAAAATCTACCATTTAGTTTTAAGACATGCTAATCGAAAAAATAATAAATTATGAATGCATCTGAATGTAATTTTATTTCACTTATTTAGAGGTATTTGGCCTTAGAAGAAGGGTAAGGAAGCCATTTTTTATAAGACAATAATATAAGTCAATGAAAAAGACACATCAATTTTTCTATTATTGAAAATTATTCATAGTAATTAAAAATACATTGTCAGGCTCGAGAGATGGTCTGTGGCTGAATGCTTACTGCTTGTCCAGTTCCTGGCATCCCCATCACATTGGTGAGCTCACAAGTCTTGTAACTCTAAGTCAAGGGGACTTAACATTGTCTTCTGACGTCTGTGAGCACCTGCACACTCATGGCCCACGTATAAACAAGCAGGCAAAATAAAATAAACTTTTCTTAAAACTGTGGTCTGTGTGTGGTGAGTGTTGTCTGTCAGTGAAGCAGAGCAGCTGATTGCATGGCTGAAACTCGGGAAGACCTAGAAAATGACCCCGTTGTCTCTGTCTTTATAGATATGTGCTATTGGCAGATTCATCAGAGAGGCTCGAAGGCCAAGGGGAAGACTTCAATTTTAGATTTCCTTTTTCTAGACAATGACATGTAAAATCTAGCCAGAAAAATGATCTACCAGGCACAGTAAGACTGGTTTCAAGTAATGGAAAACATTCCCAAAATTCCCTGGATAGAAAATTTCTTCAGGATTTTTGTAGTTGATGACAACCCACATTCTTTGCCTACACTGGAATCTTGGCACAGTGGGAGACATTTCCTTCATTGAGAAGCACTGGTTCCTTTTCAGTGTGTTAAAGAAGGGCCATTCACAAGGTCTAGAGGAATTCCATCTCACCCTGCTCTGTCCCCAGTTAGCCTTACCTTAGTAACCTTGCAAAGTAAGTTCTTATTTATCAGTTAACTTCAGGAATGCATATATTTAAAAGCATCTTTGATTAGCTTTTTTGTATTATAATTAGTATTGTCTCTCCATTATAGCATATTTACATAAACATTGGACCTCATGACTTTCCAGCTTTGTCAGCTGTTGGAATGAACTTATGATGGCATATGCATGGGTCTTTGAATTCTGAGCTGTCTGCTGTTCATGTGTTGCAGGCTTCATGGGCTACGCTCCATACATCAGCCGTCTGGTCCAGCAGTGGAATCTACAGGACAACGACGATGATCAGCTCTTCTACACAAAAATTTACATCGACCCAGTGAAGAGGGTGAGGGAGAGCTTGCAGCTCCTCTTTTTGCTGCTTTGCTTGCTTTGATTTTTATATTTTCCTCAGTGAGGGGTCAGAAACAAAAAGATTTTGGGAAACTGAATTGTAAATTATTTTTGTTGGTATCACAGTTGAAACCCTCCACATCCGTGGAATAAGCAGGGAGTAGGTGACCTCGGTCTCTCTCCTTTGGATATGAGAAGCCTCTGATTGTCTTTGTCTCTCTCAGTGGCTGAGTCAAAAATCTTGTCCAACTTAGGTTCATTAAAGAGGAAAAAATAGGTTTAAGACCCTGTTATTTGATGTGGAAACAGATCAAACGACTAGAAAATTCAGGGCTAACCTCTACTACTGCAGCCTCAGCTGCTGTATACTCACTGCCAGGTCTCTTGATATCAGAATGAGAAAAATAAGTAAAGTTCCTGAGCCTGGAGACCAAAACCAGTTCCAGACAATGATGTCTGTGTAGAACAGACATCTATCATTAAGACACAATGATCTAGCAATAATACTTTTAAAAGTCTACCATGGTGCCTGCCAATACTTCGTTTGATACTTTGAGGTGGTATATGGATAAGCCCACTGTCACACTGGAATGAACATCTCTGTAAGACTTATTGGAGTTTGAGGGTGCCTCACCATTGTCCAGGTGACTGGTATTGCAGATACAGCATGGGACATGGTCCTGTGTAGACAGATCTCATTGGGTTTTATAGCTGGCTGGAGGACTAAGAATGTTTGCAAAGGGACTGAGCAGGTGGCTAAGTGGGTAAAACATTTCCCTTGTCAGCTTGACAGCCAAGTTGAGATTCTCAGTACTGCATACATGCCAAAACAGGCTCACCTGTAGTCTCAGTTCTGAGAAACAGCTGGAGGTCCCTAGACAGCTGGCTAGCTGGATTAGCTGAGTTGATGAGCTCTAGATTCCAGTGAGAGACCTTGTCTCCACATTAGGTAGAAAGATACTCAATATCTACTTCTGGCTTCTAAATACATTTAGACTCACACTCAGGCAAACACACACACACGTACTCATGTACACACTGGCTAAAAAAGGAGGAACAGAAAAAAGTGCTTTAGAGTGTAAATTATGGAATGAATAAATCATGTAATTCCAGAGATTATGACCTGAGATTCTAGGGGCCAGAGACAGAGCCTCATTTCCTAATAAAAATATTATAATTATCACAAATAGAATAGCTAAACATAGTTGTGGGCTAAATAAGGAATATATTTATGTGTTTATTTTTTCCCTTTGAGATAGTGTTGGCTGCAACAATGTGCTGCTTTCCAGCAACGTAGCTCTTCTCTGTTCCACACTATGTGTAGAGTGTGTATTTTCAGTGTCTCTGTGACCGCATGGCTGTCGGAGCCCCGGTCATGACAGTCAGACAGATAAAATGCAGGTTGGTTGAAAAAACAACAAAGTGCCATTTAAATTCGTGAGGTCTCCTTAGCTAGCCTTTCAGGAAGAGTCAGGAAGTGCACGTCCTTCTGTGACAACATGTTGTGTAACTTCACATAACACGTAAGTGCGATTTCATGCTTTTCCCAATACATAGGCCATACGGAAAATCTGGGGACTGTTAAAACAAGTCTGCCACTAACTTTATAGAGAGAGTTCATAAGATTGATTTAATCTTTAATTCAGAGAAAAAAAAGGAAATTGTAATCTGAAAAAAAATATTTTAAATAATGTGAAGCTACATTTTGTTCATATTCTGTGAATTTGTGATGTTTCTTGCATTGTGACTTCTGCACCCTGTCAGCAGGGAAGCAAGGCCTGTCAGTGTGTGCATGTACCTACCGTGCTGTCTGTCTTAGACATCTGAATATTTTCATTAATACAGGTATTTTAAGCTGAAAATTTTCCCAGATATGCATACATCAGTTTGACTGTGTTGTTGGCTGTTTTTGTTATAATTGTCAATGTCACCTATTTCCTTTTTTAGGAAGCATTTAACATCACATTGGATCACAAATGCAAAATTTTCCAGGCCTTGAATGGAGCTACAGGTATAGATACACACACTGTCTTTTCATAGTTGTGAATGCCTGTATTCAGCGTTCTCTTCTGCAGTAGACCATTTGGATCTATGACCAAGGTGCCAGCCTTGAAATTGTTAAAAAAAAAATCAAGCACTGAACTTAATTTGAATTTTCATATAGTTCAGAAAATTCCATTCCTAATATGCTTCTGCAGAGTGTGTGTATGCATCCAAACACTTATGGCTATCTGCATTGAGTGTGTACACATTTGTGAGAACACTTATAGTGTGTGTATAAACCTGCACACGAGTATACTGTGTGCTCATACCTGCACATTTATGAATACACTCTTACAGACTATGCTCATTCTGAATGAACTTATGAGTACATACAAAGAACATGTACACAGTGATATACTTGTGAGTATATGTACAAAATATGTGTACACACATAAACTTACATGACTATACTCAGAACATGTGTTCACACTGATAGATAAGGGAGTACACTCTAACAGAGTATGCACACATACCTAACTATGTGTTAGTACACTCCCATAGTGTATGCACATAACAACCTGCACATTTATGAATATATACACAATGTGTGCACACACCTGCATCTGTGAGTATACTCAAAAAACATGTGTGCACACCAGTTTATATGTGAATACACTCTCACAGAGCATAGAGGCATACATGTACACTTGCAAATACACAAACAAGCATGTTTGCATACTTGTGAGTGCATTTACAGAGTGTGTATGCACATTTGTGAGTATATATGCAGAGCATTGCACAAACCTGCACATGCATGTGCTTATATCATGTATATATACATGCACATTTTTAAGTGCTGCCTCAAGAACATGTGAATAAACCTGGATAATTATGAATAAACATACAATGTGTGCACACAACTGCACACTTTGATTACTCAAACAGAACTTGTGCACACAGTTACATATTTGTGAGTACACACACAGAGAACATGTCTACACCAGCATATGTGGGTACATCTGCACAGAAATTGCCCATGAACGTACTTGTGAGTATTCTTAATGTTCTAATTTATGTACTAATATTCAAAATATTTTTATTTATTAATGCATATTATTTAAAAAGTTAAGAATATGTTATAGTTCTATACAGTTCATGGTGCTGTCCATAGAGTGATTAGGTTCTTGGGATAGAAGGCCAGTTGAGAGCTGCACATTTATCAGATGGCCAGACATCTGTGGAAGTCTTATGCCAGGCAATGCACCTTCACTATACACTCATTGCTTACTGTTTCTAGAATAAGCCTTCAAGGCCGGTCTGGGTGCACTACAGATAAGTTGTGATAGTGGATCCAGCTGGTGCCACACTGCTGGCAAACTCATCAGGGACCAGCAAAGCACTCAACAACCCGGCTTAGTGCTCTGGCATCTGGTTGGAATCAGCCTGTGTCTAAATGTACCGTTATTCAATTTGGAAAACTTATGAATTGGGCAAGATAGCTTCTATGCATTGAAAAATGTGATTGTGTGTCTTGGAAACCCATAGACCTACAGATGTTTGAAGTTAAGAAAAACTTTTCTCTTTTTAATCCAGATGAAGTGGTTTTAAAATTTGAAAATGGTAAAAGCAGAGTGAAGAATACATTTTATGAAACACTGCCAGTAGCGATTAATGGAAATGGGCCCACCAAAGTAAGTTCCTATGCCCATCAACTGATTGTCTGTCTCTCTGAGTTGGATTGTGGAGCAATATGGGAGGGTCATCATCTCTTTAAAACAGGTTCTTTGAAAAACTTGAATGTGGACAGTTTATTTATGTTGTCTTTTATGCAGTGTAGCATCTGACTTAAAATAAACAGGGTTTTCTCTTAGCAAGATAATGACCTTCTATTCTATAGGTGCATACTTCACTTTAGTGTCTACCTTTTTAGGAACAGTGAAGGTCAGGGACCCAGAGAGCAAGCCTTATTCCCCTAATTGTTCAGAGATCCTAGAACAATCACATGTGCTGCACGTGAAAAGAAATAATTTCTTGATATAATTTGATTTATAATAAAATCAATGACCTTAATACATGCCACAAAATCATAGTTCTTAGCTGCTGTGACCTTGACTAATAGCTAGATAGGGGCGGGAATGGGTCCTCTGTGAGTGCAGATGACATCATATTTGGATGTACTTTGAAAAGAACTCAGGAAAGTTCTTGCTCGGTGCCTAGGAACCCAAGGCAGCCCCGCCGTTGAGCAGCTTTCCACACCTTCCCCAGCGGCCAGCAGAAATGTCCACAGTTGTTACGAGGGAAACAGATGCCCTGGTGGATGGGTATTAGGAGGAGATGGGCAGTCTCTGCCGGGGATGACAAATACCAGGACATTTCCCATCACTAGTACTGTTTCCCAACATTTACTACTCTGGAAAAAGGGTAGAAGGTGGAAAGTTACAAAATCGAACTTTATTTCTGAAAACTGAAAGTTTTGCTTCTTTGTGCTTTACCCCTTAGGACTGTTGGCCATTTTCATATTCGTACAGGGAATCTAGAATTCATGGCACAAATATTAAATTCTGATGTGTTAGTCCTTAAATGTTGTGAGGATTTTTAATGTGTCCAGAAATTTCAGGGACATTCTAATGAAGATTATGTATTTTGTAATTTTCATGTCCTTTCAAAGTAACATCTGTTACGGAGCACATTATATATATAATGTATAATGTATATATGTGTGTCTTATTTTATTACTCACCTTCATTATTTGTCAATCAGAAGTACTTTCTGTGTCTTGTTTTTGTTTTGTTATGCACTTGAAATGCTCCATTGTTCCCTACCCCTCTTTGAGAGGATGTCACTGTGTAGTATCGGCTAGCATTTACCTCACCTTGTAGACCATGCTGACTTTGAACTCAAGGAAATCCACCTGCATCTGCCTCTGGAGTGCTGGGATTAAAGGTGTGCACCAAATCCATGCCCAGCCATACTGACTCTTGAAATGTCATAATGACTGTCATGACATATGGTTTCTGACTTCTGAGGTCCCATATCATCCAAAGCTCTATGCTTACCCATTTCTTAGGTTTACAGAGGTTCGGTGTGTCCACCTCTGTAGCATTTAGGTTTACAGAGGTTCGGTGTGTCCACCTCTGTAGCACTTAGGCAGCACAAAGACTTTGCTGTGCTAATGCAGCTTCGTGGTTTTATCACCTTCTGATTGAAATTTCTGTGCAGTAGAAATATTCCGATAGACCTAGGGAAGGACACTGGCAAAATGGCCAAGTTACCTCCCTCTGTGCTCTATTTCAGGATCTTAAGAAGCTGGAAATATCTTGTAAGCGCTTATTTATGTGCTCTCACTTCTGCCTTTAAAATGTTTACTTTTTCTTTTGAATGTCTTCCTTTTGCCATGTTAAAAAAAAACAAAAGCAATGACAAGAAAAGCATGATTAGCTGGCAGTGGTGGCACCAGCCTTTAATCTTAGCACTCATGAGAGGCAGAGGCAGGTAGATCTCTGCAAGTTCTGGGGGCAGCCTGGTCTACAGAGGGAGTTCCAGAGCAGCCATAGCTACACAGAGAAACCTTGTCTCAAAGCAACAACAGAAACAAACAAGCAAATATGAAAAACATGATTATATAAACATAATGAGGATTTGAAGTGTGTTCTTACAATGGTGTTTTAATTTACAACAGACACTGTGTGGTATCAAGATTGTAAAACATGTAGTAACTTTGTTACATATACATCTAGAGAATGATTCTGCAATGTCCCAATTTCAGAAAGGTTCAGGATATTTTGAGGGCTCAAAGGGAATAGTAGTCTGCTTGTTTCTTGTGCCAACTTCCTCCCTTTACTGACTACCCTTCCAAACATAAAGTCACAGTTTTTACAAAATGAGATAAATCCCAGTAGATAATTAAAAGAGAGGGGCTAGTCAGAGAGGAGGTGCCCTGTCAGATGGGTAAGCAGTCTCCACTGCTGCTTTTCTTTGGTTTGTGGAATGACTGTTTTAATCCCTTGTTGCGTTAGTCCTCTCAGCAGCACCCCGAAGCCTGGCTGACAAAAACGTCTCCATGATGTAGGATGTCCTTTTGAATATGTGTTGCTTTTATTATTTGATGAATAAAGCTCTTTTGGTCAGTGGCTTAGCAGAGTACAGCCAGGTAGGAAATCTGAACATAAATATATAGACATAGTAGGCAGAGTCAAGGTGACATCTTGTAACTGCTGAAGGAGACAGACACGGGAACCTTACTGGTAGGCCACAGTCTTCTGGTGATACATAGATTAATAGAAATTGGTTAATTTAAGATGCAAGAAATATCTAGGAATATACCTAAGCTATTGGACAAACCGTGTTGTAGTTGGTATAGTTTCTGTGTGATTATTTGGGTCTGCGCGACTGGAAAATGAACAAGCAGGCTGTGTTTACATCTCCAGAAAAAGCTTTGTGTTCTTTGGTGATAAAGCTGCCTCACTCTTTGTTCTTTGTGATGTGTTTGGTGAGAAGTCACCTTACCCTTGCCCCATTTACTGCAGGTAATGGGGCAATTTAAATGTCTGTGCTTGACATTTAAACACATTTATCTCATTACTGCATACATGAACCATGGTGGTTTGTCTAAATGTCTTAATTGTTCCTCTAAAAGTTTACTTGTCCTATTTTTTTGTTACAATGGCAAATTCTAGTATTCCCTACATCAAGTTATATCAAATAATATGACTTTCATCTTTTATAACAACTTTGTCATTTCTAGACACAGTTTGTAGAACTTAATGATTTACCACCTGAAGAATGTATATATGTTAGTGATAAATGTTAGTGTGATTAGGGAATTTTGCCAGGTGCAAACAAGAATTCTCTGAAGCTATGTAATTATATAATGAGAACTTGGTGCCTACAGATTGCTTCTGTTCATCTGTTTTTTCTTTGATTTATTAGATTCTCCAGAATTACTTTGGAAACTATGTTCCTAATTCATGGACACAGGAAAGTGGCTGTGCTCTTTGTGACTTTGACACAATTGACTTGTCTGCAGTGGATGTAAGTGGAATTTATATGTATGAACATATATCAGAAATCTACATTGTCATGAGATGCAGTGACACAGGAAAAAGGAAAGTGTTCTATAGTTTCCCTCGTATGTTTGGTGATGGGTTTCTAATGTAAAAGTACAGTGACTTAGAAAATCCAGAAGCCTGTGCTTTCGATTATTCTGAAAGACTAAACAGCTGAAGGTTGACCTCATTTGCCGTAAGTAGACTGAGCAGCTACAGCGTTGCCAGTGAAGTCAGAGCAGCACTGGTGACAATAAAGTCCCCAGAGACGTGTGACCGCAGCAGTTGTGGCGTGCAAGGTCCCACGACACGGCACTGGAACTCCGTAAACTAGTGATTGGTTTGTCACCACAGTCTGAAGGGAGGATAAAAAGTAAATTGTCTACATTTAGTAACTTCTGAATAGAACTCTATGTCACTTGAAAGGAAGGTTTTTGGCCAGACTTTGAAGCAACAAACTAAATGTTTCCTCTCTGGAAAGAGGGCCAGAGCAGTTCTGAATGAATCCGCACCATGGAGATGTTTAAACATTTGTCTTGATGCTTTTTGCAGAAAATGGTGTTGTCCTTTGGAAAGAGAATCAATTCCTTCTGTTTGGATTTTCCCTTCTAATTTAAACTTTCTGATTCAAGGATAAAATGTTAGTGTTGAGGTTTTTATTCAGCATATAAATAATGTTTTTTGCATATAAATAATTTGGCTTTTGCGTTTGACTTACAACTTATTAAAATGTTCTAGGAAGGGGAAATTACTTATTCCTAACTATAATAACTAACTAACTAACTAACTATAAAATTCTGTAGTTCTCAAAACATAGTGAGCATGCAACAGGGACATACAAATAAAGCATTTGTGGGAGTTAATATCCTGCACACAGCATATGTTTAAATGTGGGTCATAACAGCTTCGTACTGGGTAGAGTTAAATTTTTATCACATTTTTTATTCCATTTATACTATGTGTGTGCATGTGTTTGTATACATGTTAGTACATTTTGTCTGCATGTGTGGAGATCAGGGGACAACTTGCAAGATTTGGTTCTCTTCTTTTGCTCTGTGAGCCCTGTGGGTTAGATCGACAGGATAAGTGGCCAACGTCTTACTGCCCGAGTCATCTTGCTGGCCCTACACGTGCACATTTTAGATACAGTTTAAATTTCATCGTTAAATTACTTTAATAAATATTTAACTCTTGTTGCTATTTAAAAAATTAAAAGAGAAGCTTGCAATGGATGTAAATTACTACTCTGAATTCCATCCTGCTTGTGTATAAATGTGGGATGGTTAACTTCTAAGGCAATTAGTATATTTGAATTAAACATTTTAGAGGAGATTATGATCTGCTCTTGACTCTTTTCTTCCATTAAGCTGAAACCTCTTAGAGGGTAGATGTACTATTTCTAGTTCTTTGCATTTATTTCCTCAGCTCGTAGTCGGTGTTTGGCCAGTGAACTGATAAAGCACAATGGACAGGCTCTCTTCCTTGCAAACAGACGTCCACATATCCAAATGATGGAGGAATATGTGTGCAGAGACAGGATAAAATAGCCCATTCAACACTTAACATGTGTGGGATTAACACACATCTCTATTTCTGGGTTTGAATTTCTAGTTCAGTGGTAGTGGACTTGCTCAGCACGTTTGGGCTCCGTGAAGACTTCATGCAGCTCAGGTTTTAGTCTCATTGCATAATAGTTCACTTGCATATCGTTTTACCACCTGGATCGTTACTTTTCAAACCAGGAGCTTCCATTCCCTTTGATAAAACCCCACCCATCCCAAAGACTTCCATGGCCAATGTGTATTACAGATATTTCACATAAGAAAATAAAAGAAACAAATTATACCTAACACATGCTTAAAATGGATTTAAGAAAATATATAAAAATATTCACATTCAGATAATATGTTAACTAAAGAAAGTAGTTTTTCTTATAATATAATATGCTGAAAGTAAGTAAAAACAGCAAAACCTGTTAATAACATGTGGTCATTCCTCTCTTTCCTCCCTCTTCCTCTCCATCCTCCCCCCTCCTCCATTCCCGTTCTTTTCTTTTCTTTTTTTTCTCTCCTCACCTCTTCTTGTTCTCCAAGAAGCTGCATCCCTGACCTAGAACTCTGGTATTTTTTTATAGAATTTTTCAAAACAGCATTTGGTTTCTTTGAGAAGAGCCCTGAAGGAAGTGGGTTACTTACACAGGCTGTGTAATATGTCATTCATATGGTGAACAGGATAATAACTTTCTTTACGTTATAAATCCATGTTATGAGAGTGATTCAAGAAAATCACTTGATTGGCTTCACACAGGTAGACTTGCAGTGTTTGAAGACTCAGTGGTTGATGCCGGTTTCGTGATTATCCTGACCTGAAAGTCTTGTGTTTCTTGTTGTTTTATTTGTTCTGTTTACTTTGCTTGTTTTCCCCCCGTTAAAATTTAAATATAATTTGAAATTAAAGTGATCATAATTTGCTTTTGTGTTTGCTCTAAAACGTAGGTCCATCCAAAGGTAACAATAGGTGTTTTTATTGAACAACCAACCCCTTTTCTACCTCGATTCCTCGACTTACTGTTAACACTGGATTATCCCAAAGAAGCACTTAAACTCTTTATTCATAATAAAGTAAGTATTTCAGTCTTGAGTGGTGAATGTGAGAATTTTTGAAGCGACTCCTCTTCTACTTAAAACCAACTAGAATGTTTTACACTTCTATTATGTCTTTAAGAATTGAAAGTTTAATTTAATATTAAGCTGAGCCACATGAAATTGAGAGTTTCTATAGATCAAAATGGCTGAATATTAGCCATGTCCACACAGTTTGTCAGCATAATTAATGATGATGTATAAAAGAGCCTGTGTTCATTTGCATTTTGGTGACTTTGGGCTTTCTTCTCTAGACTGGCCCTTGATCTTTGCAGCAATAATACCATAGCATCAGAGCTGGCACGCTTCTAGAGCACTGCCTCCGTCCAGCTCAAAGTGGCATGCTCCTCACCAGCAAAACTCGAATTGTTATTTCTTCTGAGACATTCAGATCCTCCCAAACATGTACGACTTTAAACAAGTCGTTTCTGTCAATATTTGCTTTATTATTTCTAAGTTGTCAGCTCCAGAGCTCCTTGTTTTCTGCTCTAGTGGTAATAGGTTTTTGTTTACCTATCATTTTGTTTTTTTGGTATGTCTTATAATCATTTATTTTTTTCAGAGACCGTTTTCAAATTTCAGAAACCCACCTTAGTAAGTTCAAAGAGTAAATATCAGACATTATTTGCTGTCCAAAATTAACATAATATCAATACTTAACACAAACACTAACACAGTTGTGTTTATGTGCTTTTTGTTGACCTTTTACCAATTTTCAAATGGCCTTAAATTTCCTAACATCAATTTTTATCATTTTTTTTTTTAAGGCTGTGTCATGCAGCCTTATGTGACAACATACCTTATCGTGCTGGGACAGCACTTTTGAGAAGGAAAAGTAAGATGCGATGCATAGAAAACTCCACACACACTGGTGCTGGAGAGGAAGTCCCCCTAATTTCAATTCAGCTGAATTAGGAATTATCCTGAATCGATGGTTTTACACTGCTAGCTGGCTGTTGGTCAGTGTGAATTTGCTAAATACTCTCTTTTTGTCTAAAGACAATTTTGTATGTGGTCATTAATTGTACTCTTTGGCTTAAGAGATGATTTTTAGATTTTATTTTGCACAATGAGGCTGTTTATATACATAATATTAATATTTATTACATTTAATAGGCCTCATTTCTGAATTTTTATAGCAAATATCTAAGATTCTTAAGCAGCAAGATATTCCCCCTTTAGTGAGAATTCTCTGCAATGACTAAAATTTAAGTATTATTGCAGGATTTGACCTTTTAGGAGACACTGAAGTAATTTTGAACAGCTTCTCCTTTTGGATATTGATATAAATCTATTTTGTGTTCTTATGATTCTTTTCAAGTGATAGTTAAGTATGCTTTCTGTAATTCAGTAACTGAATTATATAATTAATACTTTAAGTAAGAAGCATTGTCTTTATAAACAATTCAGATTGTCTGTTTTCCATCTAATTTTTTATATTTAAAATTTGTTACAGGAAGTTTATCATGAAAAGGACATCAAAGTGTTTTTTGATAAAGCTAAGCTTGAAATCAGTACTATAAAAATAGTAGGACCGGAAGAAAATCTTAGTCAAGCGGAAGCCAGAAACATGGGAATGTATGTCTGAATAATTTATATTGAATTGTTATTCTGGTAGATAAATTTTAAGAAAAAAATTTACCCGATTTGTTTTATTAAAGTTGGAAGGCACCTGTTTGTCACAGATACAGCTGCAGGAGACAGTGCTGTGTGGGTGTAGTTACACAGGAGTGGCCGTGGGAGTTACTTATATTTTCCTTTAAACCAAATCAGAATACTTAGTCATGTAATGAGTTCGCTTCAGCTAAAGATTTAAACAAAAGAGATAAATGAATATTATGACTGTAAGAACAAAGTGCTTATATTTAAATTCATCATCCAAAGACCGTGTAGTAAAGCTCCTGCTTGGCATTGCTAAGCCTCTGTACTCAGAAGAGCTGCCTTCGGTTCTTTAGTACTCCAGTAGAGTACTTGTAAAACTCTGCCACTGAGCAGTTGTGTCTCCAGTGAGTGCCAAGTTGATGCTCTAGCCTGCATTTTGAGAAGCTGCTTATAAACAGGCAAGGATACTGTGCCTTCTTAACAGGGGATGTTCTTGTCTGTTGCTGACTCTCATGTCTTGTACTGTGCAAGTCTAACACACAGTTAGGGTTTCTTCTTGGGAAGGGCTTTAGAGTAGCCAGAAATGCCCATATTCTTAACTAATTCATTGGTTATTCCCTTGAGTCCTTGTTCAGGACTCAACTCTCTCTGATGGTGTTGAATAACAGCTGTAAATTTTCCCGTCAACTGTCCTGCTTGGTTGCTAGTTTGAAAAAATGTACTTAAGAGCAGAAAGTGGCCAGTAGGGCCGGCTGAGGCTGGAAAGGTGAAGCAGGCAAGAGTATCCTAAATGCAGAAGCCATAGCTAAATGTATCCTAAATGCATGATGATCATAGGACATCACAGATCGTCATGGTATCGTCAGTGGCTTGGTCTTGATTTCCTATAGAAAACACTGCAGTCTCTCCTGGAAAAACATGTGAGTCAGCAGGACATAACTGTCTTAAAAAGCACTCTATGCAATCAATGTAAAATATTTATACTTAAGAAGCCTTTAACTTTTATCTCCATAATTCCTTTCAGACAATGCCATTTTTGTCTTAGCATGTGTAAAGCTGGATTAATCTCCATCAGCACACACACACACCACCACACTACAGCAAAAGTAACTTGAATCCCTTAAAAATCTGAATTATCGGTGATGCAGTATTTTATTTTGTGTATCTAGGTGTTACATGTAAAAGGTAATTTAAAATATAAATAAATTGGAGTAAGTTATTTCTTCTTTCAGAAAGTATTTATATGTTTCACAAATTCCCACTGTTACCAGATGTTGTGTATGTGTGGTATATGTGCGTGCATAAGTGTATGCACCTATTATGTATGTGTGCAGAAGCCAGAGCAGGCCACAAGATGTCCTTATCTATCAGTACCTACCCTTTTCCTTTCAGACAACATCTCTTACTTCCCTGGAGCCAGACTGGAGACCAGCCAGTCCCAACCACCCACCTCTGTCTGAGCCCCTATCTGAGTACTATGTTTGAGTGCTGGGGTTGTTGGCCTGTGTGTTGGACTGTGCTCTGTCTTTTTACATGAATTTGGGCCGTAAGAAATTCTGCTTGCACAGCAACTGCTATTATATACTGAACCACCCCATGGCTCCTAAAGGTTTTTATGTCTTAACATATTTAGTGAATTAAATATGTATCTCACTTGATCTAAAATTGTAGTGATGTCTACCTATGGATACATGGGTTGATGAATTAGTCATTTTCAGTATCATGGCAGATTTGATTGAAAATACATTAGAACATTCCTATTTACATTTGTTTTACATTAATATTTCCAAGCAGGAAATTTGCCTAATGCTTATTTTATTTTCTTTCTCAACATCAGGGATTTCTGCCGTCAGGATGAAAAGTGTGATTACTACTTTAGTGTGGATGCAGATGTTGTTTTGACAAACCCAAGAACTTTAAAAATTTTGATTGAACAAAACAGGTACTAAGATTTAACATGAATTCATTAGTAATATGATAATTTCCCACATATGTGTGGGCACACTATAAATTGAGGTAGGTTATATTCAACTATCCTATACCTTTTAAGGTTCCAGTACTAAGTATTCCATTAGCAATCTTAGAAATGAAAGTGTCCAATAATACAGTCAAACAGTGACTATTCATGGTATTTGGTCTCTTTTTCTATTTAAAACTATGTTTAATCATATTATCAATGTTTCTGATACTAACAAATTTTCAAATTTTTTATTCTCCATAGATATTTTAAATATAAGTTTTCATAAAACTCATCATTTATTTCATAGAGTTATAGTTCTAAAATCAGACGTTTCAGATATACTGATCTCTTCACAGCCATAGTTGCATTTACTGATGTAGTGAATGCCATGGGGCCGCTATTCTCAATGATTCAAATGCAATGGAATAAAGACATGATGAAGATCTAGATGTAAGGGTCTTAATCCTACTTGCTGTACTACAGCTACTACTGATTGTGTTGCTATTCACTGCTCCTCACAGCTCACATGTACTGTTGGTCTACATTAACACACTATTTCTCCTAATAAAGAAAAGGTGTAGAAGCTAAAATGTTAGCATGACTTCTTTATGTTACGTATCATATAGGAAATTTGTAATACTGCTTCAGGAGACACTGAGATTATAAATTAGAAGGACTTTTGTTTTGTCTTTTAATTAACTTGATATCAGTTATGGACATTGAACCATCCTTCCCTGAATACCCATAAAGCAAATTTTTCGCCATTTTTTTTAATCGTGCTATAGTTATTCTACAGTATAAATCTATGTACTTCTGACCAATGTTTGGTAAATAGAAAAGGTAAAAAAATCTCAGTGGCCATGATATATATATATATATATATATACACATATATATATATATACATGATATATATATATGTGTGTGTGTGTATGTGTAAATATATACATATATATGTGTGTGTATATATATATATATAGTAATTTTTTATGTGTATGAGGGCTTGGCCTGCATGTATATCTTGGTACTGTGTGTGTGTGTGTGTGTGTGTGTGTGTGTGTGTGTGTTGCCTACAGAAGAGGCTGCCCTAGAACTAAAGTTATAAAAGGTTGTGAGCTGACATGTGAGTACTGGGAACTGAACCTGAGTCCTCTGGATAAGGAGCTCTTAATCACTAAGCATCTCTAGTCTCGATAAATAATATCTTATATATTTATCTTTTGTATATGTACAAAGATGCCAGCTCATCTTCACAAGTGTTGATCATGTTAATTAGACTTCTTTGTGTAGTCCATAATCACTATGGAAGAATTGTGAGCTTTTCTTAAATTGCATGATGCCACTGCAATATAAAAGTAATTGTAGAGGAACATTTGACTTTTTACTCATATGGGAAATGTTGGTAGTACAAATAGTTTCCCAAGAGAAGTCTGATGTATTTCAAATTTGTATTCTGTTAGTCTAAATGGTACCACTTTCCAAATAGGTATTAAAAGAGAATATAGTCACAGTGTCTTACTGTGTTTGCTATGGCTGTAACAAAAAGCCACCAAGTGGCTAAATAATAAACAGTAGAAGTTCATTTGACTCACAGACTTGGAGACGGAGTGGTTTGGCATCACATGCAGGGGCTCCTGCCGCGCTGCCTGGCTGCCTTGTAAGGTTTTCAACTACATCATGAGAGGAGGGACAAGCTGAGGTTGCAGGAGCAGGAAGCGGGGAGCAAGGGAGGAGACGAGTTTCAGGGTCCCTACCCTTGTGTGACCTTCTCCGAAGTTAGGGACCTCTCAAAGTGCTGTCTCTCAACACCCTCAGGGTAGCAAGTAAATTTAAACCCTAGTTCCTGGGGACTTTCCATTCCAGACAAGAGGCTCTGTTTTGTTTCTGAAGTAAAGACTGACGTATCCATTGCTACCAGGCCAGCTTACAACTACAACCTAGTTTAAAAGTCATAAAATACTGGAGACAGATGGTAAAGTGATTAGGATTTATTTTAGAAACATTGCCTCTTCATGTCTCAGCCCATCTGTGTGGGTTGTTTTTCATTCAACAAATATTCACTGACTCCCTTAATACTGTAGAGAGCGTTCAGTTTGCCCGTTTTACTTGAATTTAATTTAAATACAATGAAATAATTTAGTTTGACTCTCCTACATGTAACTAATGTATTGTTAAAATGTTATCTCAATATTTTGTTAGCATTTTCAATATTTTTCCCTTTTTGTTGCTCCTTTTAATTAACATAATTAAAAAATTTCATTGTATCCTTTGAAGAAAAGATGTTGGGATTTTTTTCTTAAATTTTGTGTAATTAACACACACACACATATGCACATACACAAGTAATTTATTAAATAAACTTCCCTGTGTTATGTGTCTTGCAAAGGGTATAACTCTTCTAGTTTGAAGATTATTAATGCTGTGGGTTTCCCTTTCTTAGAAAGATCATTGCCCCCCTTGTGACACGTCATGGAAAGTTATGGTCCAACTTCTGGGGGGCATTGAGTCCTGATGGGTACTATGCGCGCTCTGAAGATTACGTGGACATCGTTCAGGGGAACAGAGTGTGAGTTACCCGAGAGAATCTTTTCCTATACAGCAGTGTAACATTCTCTTCCTATTGATATTACCTGATAATAATCTTTATCTCTCTTCCTTCTGCTTAGAGTGGATTTAAGAAGTAGCAGCTCACTTAGGTATTTATATGATAAAAGTACCTCTTTTTGGAGACCACAGTATATTTCACTAATACAAGGGCACCTCTTTCTAGAGACCACAGTATGTTTCACTTTTTAAGTGAGCTGATGTGTTGGATAATTAAGACAAAGTGTGCTAGCCTACCATCTGAAAAAAGAGAAAAATTCTTGCCTAGTATTTTCTTAACAAAGCGCTTTGATATTTGATTGGCTGTTAATTTAGAAAATACCAATTATCATCTAGGAAGTAAATATTACTTGCACACATACTTGAAGTGGTGGATGGTGGAGGAGGAGCTTTACATCTGAATGATGCAACTATAATAAAGTTTTTTCCCCTTTTTTGTTTTTTCTTTAGTTATTATTGTTAGCTGCTAGTATGGTAGGTAAGAAATTATTTTAAGACAGTTCTTTATTATTAAACTACTTTTATTGACTCTAAATTGACTTACATAGGGCATATATGTTATACTATTCATGGACTGGTTGGAAATGAAGGGTGTAAATACAGACCAGTGCGTTCACGTTTATTGTAGTAAGTCATTGTTGTTTTGTACACAGTAGTTTCCTGCCTTACCTATCCACAGGATAAGAGGGTGGTAGGGACCTTGGTCCATTAGTGAGCCTGAGGAGAGAGTGACGGCTGATGACGTGTGTATGCACCTGCATTTGTACCCTTAGGAAGAAGCATCATGCATTCCATCGTAATTAATGCTCAAATTTGCCTGACAATTATATGGGGCTAAAAGCCCTTTGATTTTTCTTTCTTTTTTTTTTTTTTGTATTTTCTCATCTAAGTAATACAAAATGATTATACTACATTTCCTTGGTCAAGATTTTCCCTTTCTTTTTTCTAAAGTGATAGACACAAGCCTTAGGCTGCTACCTCCCAGATAGCATTCTATCTGGGGTCCTCTCAGAATGGGGGCGGGAAAGGAGAAGACAGAGAACTGCCAACCCTTACACTTCCAGCTGTATTTCATCTAAAATAAGCCAATGAATTTCAGTATATATACATACTTATTATGTTGATTGTGGTCGAAAGAATACACTCAGTTGTAGTGCTTACGAAGTTTTGTAGTATAAACACTTCTTCTATGGCCCATTTAACTTTCTAATACAGTCTTGGCACTGGCGTCTGCTCCAGGGAACCATGCCAGCTGTGCCAGAACACCTCTGGTTCAGTGTGTCGTTGCTTTGCTATCAGATGTTTTTGATTAAACAGAAAATATTCTGTACAGTAGATTACCGTGACCTAACTGCAGCAGCGGTGGTGGGAGAGCCCCCACAGCTAGATACAACTTAAATTAAAGTCTATCTAGAGATAGAGATAATAATTTCTCCTAAACTCATTAAGATATATGTATACCAAAAAATTCATATTTGTCAAGTATCATATGCTTTACTGACGAATAATTTATATATACAAATCCTGAACATATACAAAGCATTTATTTTAAATGTAAGCATGAAATACATTGTATGTGTGGTATTTTTGGATTGTGTCTTTTACTTTCAGAGGAATTTGGAATGTCCCATACATGGCTAATGTGTACTTAATTCAAGGAAAGGCACTCCGATCAGAGATGAGTGAGAGGAACTATTTTGTTCGTGATAAATTGGACCCTGATATGGCTCTTTGCCGAAATGCTAGAGAAATGGTAAGGTGCACAGCCGTGGCTTGCTTGGCCATTCTGACAAGATGGCCTGCTTTGCAGCCCGTGTGTCCCTGTATTTGGATGCCCTTCTTCGTCCTTATTTGTAAATACTAGCCAATTTTTTTGGTTCTATAATTTTTGGAGAATAATTTGTGAACATGTGTAGCATAGTCTTTAAATGTTAGCATAGGCCTGACTCATAAACTGCACAAGAAGATTTTAATAAAGACAAAATTAAGAATAAGCCTGTTCCCTTAAGAATTTATCATTATTCACATCTGAAATTCTGTACTAAAAAATTGAATTTAGTTAATATTAGTTTGAAATGTTCTTTACGTATTTAATAAGCTTATAATTTTGTCGTGAAATCAGTGACTACGGTTTTTTCTAAGTGTACCCTGTAATACTGAGGGTACACTCTTACAAAGCAGGCTTCCTAAACTAGGGAGATAGCATACTTAATCCATGTGAAAAGCGGATCATACATTAGTGTTTTAGAAATATACTTTTATAATAAAACATAAATGCTTATTGAAAATATTTTTTCAAACCACACAAATATGTTTTAATTCATAAAACATATATATAAGATTTTCTGTTTCAGATATTATTTTATTTCTCAATTTAAATAAGCAGCCATAGCCTTAGGAATATCAGAAAGATTGGCAAGTATTTTTCTTAGTTTAACAAGGCATGTGTTGTTCCAGTATGTGTATTGCCTGTGTATCTGTGTGCATCCTCATTGAACACACTCAGTACCTTTGATTGTATTTGTGCTTATGTTTGGCTGGTTTCACTCAACAGCGCATCCGGAATGGCCTCTGTTACTCATTTTTCCCCTTTGTCTTAATTATGTATCTAATGAAGTTTTGCTAAGGAATGAGCTTGGATATGTGTTTCACCAAAAAGTTGCAATAAAACAGTGGGAAGGCTGGAAGTGTTTTGTGTGCCCTGCAAGCTTTGCTTGTTTTGCATGTTGTCTAGGAAGGACATGTCACAATGTCAGCTTTTTATCAGAGCTGCTGTATTTATGTACCACGATGCCTGACAAACAGGTGTGCACATCAACTGACCCATGCTTCTCTTCATTTTAGACCTTACAAAGGGAAAAAGACTCCCCTACTCCGGAAACATTCCAAATGCTCAGGCCCCCAAAGGTGTCATTTTTATTTATTTTTATTTATGTAACTATGTTAAATATGCTGTGTTGAGTGGCAGTAAATTATTTTTAAGAACCACCTTTGCATTGGTTGGTAAAATACCGGTACTCATGGGCTCCTTATCTGTCCGTATGTGTGCTGTAGGGTTTTGGAGGAGTGTTGCTTAATGGCCAGATCTTTGGTCATTGAGGTAATTTACATTTTATAATTAGCAGGTGAGAGAAATAACCTCCAATACTTTTACTCAATGTTGTTGGGTTTTGGGGTGCTGTGGAGAGGAGATGAAAGTAGGTGTAAAGTATATCTTCATTAGAGATGAGATTTGGGCCCTTGCCCATGTGTATGCTTGCCACTAACCTTTTTACCAACAAAAACAGGTACAAAGAGACATCCTTGGCCCAGTGCTATCTGTCACATTTGCCATGTTTAGGGAAGAACAGGAGACTTCCCTCTTAACTCTCATAAAATGCCTGGAGAACTGTCTTGGGTCTGAAACAATGCAGCAGAGGAATATGAAGCACTGGAGAAGTCCTTCTGGCATCTTGAGTTCTTATAAAATGCGTGTTTCTTTAAAAGGAAAAGAAGCCGAAAAGAAGATGCACGCCATTGCCGTGCATATCTGAAAAATATTTCTGCTTTCCAACAGGGATTTCTTTTCCTTTATCTGTCTCTAGGATCCCTGAGAAAGTGACAAAGCAGTCCAAGTCTCCTTCTTCTGTTTGGCCATTTGTGCTGTTAGTTCTGTGTGTTTTCTGAGTTTCTAACAATTTTGATTTATTTTAAATAATACACATTTTATGAAAAAATTAAAATGCACGTTTATGAATTAATTTATTGAAATATTTCATTAATGAAATGATTAACAAAGTTTAATGCAGTCTATATATTTTTCCCATGATTAAATGTCCTACACTTTGAGATTAATACTGCTGTTTTCGGTACATAGGGTATGTTTATGTACATTTCTAACAGACATGAATTTGGACGGCTATTGTCAACTGCAAATTACAATACCTCCCACCTCAACAATGACCTCTGGCAGATATTTGAAAACCCTGTGGTATGTTCATGTTTAACTCCCTTGTTGCTTATCTTCCTGTCGCTCTAAATAATATAGAGTAATAGTAGTAACACATAAATGCTTTTAAATGAGTGCAAATAGTTGTATTTTATGATCTGCAATATTTCTAAACTTGACCCAAAACTTTTTAAAATTAAGACATATTACCTTAAAGAAAAGAAAAAAAATCAGTTTCTTTGTTTTCTCTTAAAATCTCTACTCTCTGTTTTCAAAAGGATCATCCATTTCTTAACTATAGTTTTAGAAAAAAACCTGAATCACATACATATTTTCAAAAGGGGGTGGGAAAGACCTCAGTTATTAAAGATATGACTTGGGGATGAAACTCTTCCATAACTTGAAAAATGCATTAGGTTCATCCCCAGCGGCTCTCCCACTCCCACATATCAAGATACATTGAGAATTTAGTTTGGAAAAATACCCATTATTTTTTCACTTTGTAAAGAGTTATGACGATTTTGTAAATATATACTGAAGATAGCCAGAGCCCAATGAATCTTTCTCCCATGTAAGGAAACATGCCAAGTTGGAAAAATTTGATTCAGATAGTACTCGCTCTTGGGACTGTTAGGAGGAGCTCTTTCTTCAGTAGGGCTGGCACATTTTTCCCTCGAGAAAGCTTTCTTGAATAGTCTTGAATAGTCATTTTGTTTACCTTTTTAAATGTTTTCCCCATGCCAACAGTGAGTTTTAAATTACAAAGACTCAGGGTACCTGGTTAGAATTTGATTTCCAGAATCAGCAGAATTTTGATTTCCAGAATTAGCAGAATTCCAGAAAGAACTTTGAATTTAGAATCCTGTTAGATAGAAAAAAATAATCTTTATTTGGCATTTTGATATTTTAAAAGTACTTTTGTCCCATTTTACCTGCATATCTTCAACATTAGTGAGGGAGAAATGAAAATGGTTTTCTTTTTCTGGAGAGGGTAGCATCTCCACACTTGGGCTGGGTTCTGAATTTGTGAGGGTTCTGAGAGGTAGAATTCCTTAGTTATCAGCGTCCAGGTGAGCTCTTAGTTTATATCTTGCAGTTCATATGTTCCTATAGGAATTTGGCTCTCTTGAGGGCTTATGGAGAAAGTGCTGAGCTGAGTAGGCTCTGCTTACCTTTCCGTGGCTTTGCTCTTTCTTTCATTCTTCTGGGACAGAATACTTAGTGATTTCCCATTTTCAGAGCTTTTGAAAAATAAGTGAGATCATAATTGACCCAATGACTAGAAAGACATTTTCAAAGGAAGAGTTAGTGTTAGTGTCCAATCTAAAACTTTAACATCAATAAATACAAAATGATGACCCAACCTAACTGAAGTATGAGGTCTGTGCCCAAGCCAGGAGTCTTTTTGCCCTTAACACTTTGACCTACATTTCCCAGATCTATTTTTGTTTGTTTGTATATTTTTCAAGACAGGGTTTCTCTGTAGCTTTGAAGCCTGCCCTGGAACTAGCTCTTGTAGACCAGGTTGGCCTTGAACTCACAGAGATCCACCTGCTTCTGCCTCCTGAGAGCTGGGATTAAAGGTGTGCGCCGCCACCACCCAGTTCCCATTCTGTTTTTTACTTTTAAACACCACATGTTTAAGAATATATATATTCCTAAATACTGCATATGAATCTATCCATCATAATAGTACTCAATTTTAATATCCTGAGACATTATAGATAAAAGGCTTTGTTCGTTTCATGGTATGGTGTACCCATACATAGAACAGGCAAAGTTTGAAATATAAAACTGGCTTCTGAAAAGTACGATTTTGTCTAATTCAAAGTTATTTATACGCTATTTGAATAATTTTTCTAATGTATATACTTATTTATGGAAAAGTTACTTGTTTAAATGTGTGTTTATTTTTCCTTAGGACTGGAAGGAAAAATATATAAACCGTGATTATTCGAAGATTTTCACTGAAAATATAGTTGAGCAGGTTTGTACTAATAAATGTAACATACAGAGTGACTTTCCTGTAATTTCAACAAAACCTGATTTAAGTAATACTACATTACAAGGAATTTTAAATGTGGAATCGTTGATTGGGAGCAATTCATGAGACTTACAGCTTTTAAATTTTTAATGGAGCCTAGCCTTAAAGCCTCACTCTTAAAAACAAAAAACACCAACAACAACAACCAAAAATCAATCTTTACTCATTTTACATACCAATCCCAGTCCCCACTCCCTCCCCTCCTTCTGCTCCCTCCATCCTACCACCACCCACTCCCAGAGAGGACTTCTCAGGGGAAGTCAACAAAGTCTGACTAATCAGTTTGAAGCAGGAACAAGGCCCTCTTTCCTCTATCTAGGCTGACCAAGGTATCCCTCCATAGACCATGGGCTCCAACAAGGCAGCTCAAGCATCAGGGATAAGTCCTGGTCCCACTGCCAGGCCCCATAGACTGCCCCAGCCACACAACTGTCACCTACGTTCAGAGGGCCTACTTTGGTTCTATGTAGGTTCCCCCACTGTCAGCCTGGAGTCTGAACTCCCATTAGCTCAAGTCAGCTGTCTCTGTGGGTACCCCATCATGGTCTTGACCCTTTTGCACATATTTTGCTCCTCCGTCTGTTGGACTGGTCTCTGGGAGCTTGGCCCAGTGCTTAGCTGTGGATCTCTGCATCTGCTTCCATCAGTTACTGGATGAAGGTTCTATGATGACAAGTAAGGTAGTCATCAATCTGATTATAGGGGAAGGCAGGTTCAGGCACTTTCTCCAGTATTGCTTAGGGTTTTAGCTGGGGTCATCCTTGTAGATTCCTGGAAGTGTCCCTAATGCCAGGTTTCTTGCTAGCCCCATAATGGCTCCCTCAACCAAAGTGTCTCTTTCCTTGCTCTCCTCTGCCCTTCCCCCATCTCCGCCCTCCAGTTCCCTCATTCGCTCCCCACCTCCCCTTTACCCTTCCTTCTTCTCTTCCTCCCTTTCATCCCTCCCCCTCATGCTCCCAACTTTGGACAACACACAGACATGCAGCTGAGCACTGGTACTCCCTCCAGCCACAGAAGCTGGGGGACCATTGATAGACAACGGACAGACAGTGGAAGCTTATCTTTGGAAAACACTGGATTCTCTTTCTTAAACAGTCTTTACTTAGAACGACCTGTTAAACATGACCTCTATTTCAGTGTTCAGAACTGTCACTCAGATTTGTTTCATTGGGTCCGTGACACCATTGTTGTATGCACCAAGAGGAAAAAAAAAACTGCCAATTAAACTGTAATAAAATGATTTTCTAGTGAAGATCTTCAACAATGTCTGTATATTACAGTCATTTCTGCTGTTGCCCTGTCTTCTAATAGTGGCACTATCTTCCAGCCCTGTCCAGATGTCTTTTGGTTTCCCGTACTTTCTGAAAGAGCCTGTGATGAGTTGGTTGAAGAAATGGAGCATTATGGCAAGTGGTCTGGGGGAAAGCATCACGTGAGTTGTGATTTCACGGGAAGGAGTCATGGGGAGGTGGGGCAGATAGCCAGAGAGTTCAGAGGACTTGTGCCTTTCTTGTTACATGTCTCTGAGACTGTGAACTCAATGAATTGGCCATCAAGAAAACTTTTTAGTCTATTTTTTACTGGTTGCTAATTGTTTTAAATCACTCTGTTCCTGGGTTCCTTTCTCACTCATGAGAGCAATTACAGTTTAGCCATGAGGGACTGGTGTTGATTAGGAAAAGGAGTTGATTACCCCCTGTGCTCCTTTTCCTGGTGCACTGTAGTGAAAAGGCTAGGACAAACATCCAGTGTCAACAGGGTTAGCATCTGTTTGTAAAATAATAAGGTGGAGCTGGGCGGTGGTGGTGTAGGGATGCAGAGGCTGGTGGAGCTCTGTGAGTTCAAGGACAACCTGGTCTACCAGAGCTAGTTCCAGGACAGGCTCCAAAACTACAGAGAAACTCTGTCTTGAAAAACCAAAAAATAAAGTAAAATAGTAAGGTGGAATCTATAATTCTGCTTTGTATTTACATTCCATTATAAAACTTGGCAGGGAATAATTCCAGCATTGATTCTATGTGTCTCTTTAAGAAACCACAGGGACAGACAGCCTGTTCCTTAACCTTACAGTGGAATTTTGGGGAATATTGTGACACTTAAGCATTTGCCCAGCTTGGCTCACAGCTTTGTAACTGACCAGGAAGAGGTGCTTTCCAAATACGAGGAAGAACTCCGAGTCTAGGGATGGTGGTGTGCTGGCCAATAATTGCTGAAAGACTTGAGTTTCACCAAATTAAAGCAAGGTTTGCAGGGCCTTTGATTCAAAGAGCACATCAGTGGAATCTGCCCTGAGGGTGATTATAAAATGTTAGTTCCAGGGTGTGTGTGCATGTGAGGGCTGAGGGAGTCCATTTTATCAACTTTATAGTGATACTGAAACTCACATCTACAGTCAGTGAGTAGAAAGTGTTTCTAACCGAAGCTCGCCTCACCACTGATGCACATCATGTGCAGAGCTCTGTTGGCTAAATGGTCTTGATCTTGTCACTAAAACAGGTGGCACACCATAATTAAACAACTGTTCACTTTATTGTGCGTTGTGGTTCTTGATTGAAAAAAGTAGGAAGATAATATAAATTGTCTTGTTGTATTAATGTTTGTTTCTAGGATAGCCGTATATCTGGTGGTTATGAAAATGTCCCAACTGATGATATTCACATGAAGCAAATTGATCTCGAGAATGTCTGGCTTCACTTTATTCGCGAGTTCATTGCTCCAGTTACGCTGAAGGTGTTTGCAGGCTATTACACAAAGGTAGTTGTCCTGATCCTCCTGACTACCCGCTACCAATTTCCTGCTAAATATACTCATGCATTGCATTGCTAAGCAAATCTACTGGCTTGCTTTCCTAGGGATTTGCACTGCTGAATTTTGTGGTAAAGTACTCTCCTGAAAGACAGCGCTCACTCCGTCCGCATCATGATGCCTCAACATTTACCATCAACATTGCTCTCAATAATGTAGGAGAGGATTTTCAGGTAATTATGGCAAACATTGAAAATTACCTGGAACTCTGGCATTGTGGGGAAGACTCTGCTGAAATTTGATTTTCACTTGCTATTTGGATGGCATGGTTTGAATATTGCTACCGACTAAAAACATAAAATATTAAGTTGATATATTTGTGTTTAACTTTTTAGGGAGGTGGATGCAAATTTCTAAGATATAATTGCTCCATTGAATCCCCACGAAAAGGCTGGAGCTTCATGCATCCTGGGAGGCTTACACATTTGCATGAAGGTCTTCCTGTTAAAAATGGAACAAGATACATTGCAGTGTCGTTTATAGATCCCTAAGTTATTTACTTAACTCGGACTGAATCATTCTTTGAGATGGATGATTGGCATCAACGTGTCTTTGAAGTTGTGCTTGGGAAGATGAGAGGAATATTAAATAATGTCAACAGAACAACTTCACTTTGGGCCATACATTTGAAAACTTTTTATATAAAATTGTTTGACGTTTCTCAATGTCTGCTCTGAGCCTTAAAACACAAGTCGAAGAAGAAAAGAAAGGAAAAAGAAGTGAAAGTCGGTATTTATTTGTATGCTTTGACTGTCTCTGAAAATAATGACAGTTTTTAATAAAATGGTTAGGTACAAAGGCTTCGGTGATAATAAGCCTAGTGATGTTTTCTTATTTAAGAAAAACCTGAGATTTTATTTATCGTTGTGGAGAAGTATAGAATATGGTTTTATATGAAAATCAGCAGTTCTGGAAACCTGGAATTTTGATGATTACTGAATTTATATGTAATTATTAAGCCATGTTGACCTCTGTGTAAGTTTGTTTTTTAGTAATTAGGATGAAAACCCAAAGAAAATATTGCACAAGGATTTTACTCAAGAAACCTAGTGCAGGCAGCCAATGGGAGCATCTCCATTGGAAATAGACTTAGCGTGGGAGGTGGATCTTGCTTTCTTTCGGAAAGTGGACCCCGGTGTTCCTCCAGGGCAAGCACTCAGGGCAAGCTCTCAGGGGCCTTTCTGCTCTGCACAGTGCTTCACTGCAAGTGTCCTTATGTCAAGTAGGAATTTTGTTTCCTTCTGTTCTTTTTGTCCACTAATTCTAGAAAGTAGTGAGTAAGAAGAAGAGTTTCATTGAGATTAGTAGTTCATTTCACAATGTTTATAAAAACTTCTTAAGTACTTGAATTTCATATCAGGAAAATGGTTTTTATCCTTGTTTCCTACTTTTTACCCTTAGCTGCTCTTTTTGTTCTTTTTTCCCTGAGGTTTGCCTTTCTTTACTTCCCTATAATCTATTTTATCATTCCTTAGTCTCTTTATTGCTTTTCTTCTACCCCACATTTTAAAAATCTCCACAGCAAAAATTTTGATATCAGTTTTTAATATTTCTCTGAAAAAGGTTTAAATATCCTTATTGTAGCTACTTTTTTTTTTTAATTTAATGGTTAGACTTGAAGAAAGTTTTTATTCCTGGTGCCAAAATTCATTTTTCTGACTCTCTGTGTTAGAAAATGATGAAAAATAAAATAATTTAAAATAAACATTGTGATTTTTGTATTATTGATGATTCTTTAGAAGAGAATATATTGTAGACTGGTCTGAGAGCATGTCTGGATGTGAGAGCTGTAGTCATTAAGCTTGATGGTTTAGTATTATATCAAAATTACTACCCAAATTCAATTGCACATCTCTACTCTTACAGTGATGAGGGAGTTGGTATTACTCATTTTCTCGGAGTGGAAATGAAAGCCACTGTTCAATCAGCATACACACTGGTCTGGTGGTAGTTTCGAGTCTGTGATGATCCGGGCTCCGTCCCAGGCAATGAGTCCATAGTGCGTCAGCTGTAGTCATCCTCGACAACTGATTTGGGAAGGAAGTTGAGTCCTCTTCTTGTCCGCTCCTTGTAGCGAGCTCTCTTGTTAGACTGTTCTTGGACTGCCAGCCTGGAAGCTATGACTTGAAGACTTGTGCTGTTGCTGCTTTGTTTCTCGAGACAGGGTTTCTCCGTGTAGCTGTAGAGCCCGCCGTGGAGACCAGGCTGGCCTCAGACTCAAGAGATCCGCCTGCCTCTGCCTCCCGAGTGCTGGGATTAAAGGCTGCCACCACCTGGATTTATTAATTATGAAAGCTTGGCCTCAGCTTAGGCTTTTTCCCCAACTAGCTCTTATAACTTAACTCATATGTTTTTAATTGGCATTCTGTTGCGTAGCTAAGTTACCTCTTCTTAGTGGGTCACATCTGACTTGCTCAGTCTGCTAGTGAAATCGCACACCTAAATTCCTCCTTCCAGTTTCTCTCTTCCACTCATCAGTCCCACCTGTTCTCTCCTGTTTAGCTATTGGCCATTTGGCTCTTTATTGAGCCTATCAGAAGGTGCCTTAGACAGAGACACATGATTGCAGTGTAAACAAGTATTCTGCAACACTTGTTGGTGGCCCTAAATATCCAAGGTGGATCAACTAGATTGAGGGAATCTTTAGTAATAATTTGTGAATTCAATTACACTTCAGGCATAGTGTTCACAATATGTAGAGCTGGTGTGGCATTGTTGCCATCCAGTTGCACCAAATTGTAAAGCAAGTGGAGTTCTTTCTGCAAGCTAGCCTGACAGCCAGTGTCACACTATTCAGGGGAGGTGCCAGATGCCAAGCATTGTCTCTTCTGTGTTATAGCACATAGACTGTCACCTAGTGTAATGAACATCATGCCATGGTTCCAGAAATTGAATAAAGACAACCAATTTAGCAAATTTTGGTTTTTAAATCTCATTTTTATGGAATAATACAAACGTGTTTCTTGGAGTCATACGTTGTGAGAGAAAACAAGTAAACCTCCCATAAGTAGGTCATGCAGTCTAAAAGATGGGAAAACGTAGGGTTGGGTAGATGGAGAAAACTGACTATTGAGACACAGTGGGAAGAGTTTCTGGAGCCACTTCTGAGGCATGATAAATGCATTCTCTTTTAGGAATAGCAAAATGTGACAGATATTTCTAGAAGAGAGGCACATCGGGGGAAGTGTTCTATTAGAGTATAGTACCAGATGTCTTAGGGTTTCTATGGCTAAGTCAAAACCCCACGACTGAAAAACAAGTTGGGGAGGAAAAGTTTGACTGATAGTTCCACATTGCTGTTCATCAATGAAGGAAGAAAGGACAGGGACTCAAACAGGTTAGAACCCTGGAGGTAGGAAGTGATTGAGGGGTCATGGAGGGGTGTTCTTACTGGCTTGCTCTGGCTTGATCAGTCTGCTTTCTTATAGAACCCAGGGCCACCTGCCCAAAGGTACCACTTACAATAGTGTCCCCCAGTTGATCATTAATTGAGAAAATGTCTTAGAGCTGGATCTTGTGGTAACATTTCCTCAACTGAGGCTCCTTCCTCTCTGATGACTCCAGCTTGTTTCAAATTGACACGTAAAATCAGCCAGTACGCCAGTTCTATTAAAAACAGATCCATCTCTCTGTGTCTCTGTTTCTCTCTCTCTCTCTCTCTCTCTCTCTCTCTCTCTCTCTCTCTCTCTGTCTCTCTCTCTCTCTTTCTCTCTCTCCCCCCTGTATGTGTGTACAATATTCTGGAGAGGACATGATGGTGTGAGGTCCTGAAAGCATAAATGGATTTTGTGCTTTTCTGCTGTTGCCTTGCTGCTGTAAACTTGCTATGTAAATGCATTTAGAAGTGGGAATACATTTCTGGATGTGTGACTAGACGGCTTTCATATCCTCATAAGGAGTCAGGTTTTCAAGGTACCGTTCCCATTTTTATGTTTTCTTCTTTATTCCTCTTTTCTTCCTTCCTTCCTGTTTGAAACCAGAACTTGCATTAATTTACACCTCTAACTTTTCATTTACTAACTGCATGGAAAAATCAGTATGAATGTTGTCCACCAGAACAGATACTTCCACTCTAGTATTTCAATTCCATTCTGCTTTACCTTTGAAAATCTCTTATCTTTTATTGATAATTTTATGGAGTAAAAATACAGAAAACCATTCATATATTTATGAAGTGGGGCTCCTAGGAATGGGCTCCACATTCCTGCTTTCTCCTCTGGCTCTACACTCGATAATTTGCCGGTTTGCCAAGAACGAAGAGTGAGTGTATCTTAGGTGTCACTGTTTGGACATGTTCATTTGGAGTGTGGAACCTGTTTGCACAACGGATCTCTTTAAATTGCAGACAAATTCTGGTAGATGAATTAAAAACTGCTGTTCACAGTGAGAGTCAGTCTGTGTAAATAACTTCCTTTCACTAGGTGATGTTTTAGAAAATTAAATTATTTAAGACACCGTGAATGCAGGCTTGTCAGCACTGTTTTCCTGTGGCCTTTTAGAAAACGAGTTTAAACTTGCGACTGCTAGTAAGAGAAAGACATTGGAGGAAACAAACTAGCGGAAAATCCATAAAGGCTTTTTGTGGATGTGTACTTCTATAGAAGTCTTGAGCTTTGAACACAGATGTAAAAGTGATGAAGAGAATAGAAAAGTACATGGCAGCGTGCTCTCCTAATGCAAGCAAACTGGACATGGTGACGCACATGGGGAGGCAGAGGCAGGCGAATCTCTGCATTCGAGGCCAGTCTATTCTACAGAGCTAGTTCCAGTATAGTCAAGGCTACACAGAGAAACTCTGTCTCAAAAAAACAACAAAACAAACCAAAATGCCCCCCTCATCCAAACTGAGCTGTGGACTGAGCTTGGAGCCCAGGGGAAGGGCTCTGGCCTCCCGAGACCCTGCATTCAGCTGTGAGAGTGGTTTTCTTGCTGACAAACCGATGATGCTCATATTTGTTCAGTTAGTAATTATTGAACATGGTCTATTTTCACTGACAAATAGGAACTATTTTTGAATGTTGATAGTCTTTGTAACATAGGAATGTCGCCTATGTAATGGTTAAAAAGATCAAACAGTTCATTAATTTTAAGTTCAAATAGCGTGCCATAAAGATAGGTTGCCATCGTGAAGCCTCAGTCTGAAGTAGATGCTACTTTATCACTTACAATTAAGGCGTGGAGAAGGTTTTCTGTAGATTTGTGGTTAATAAGAAATTGCTCTGTGCGTAGTGGCATAATCACTTTTAAAGTAACTTTTAAAGATGTCCCTTATAATGTTCAGTGAACTTCAAGACAGACTAGCATCTCTCAGAAGAGCAAAGGGGATCAAGTCACATGCTGGTTGTTTCTGGCCAAAGCTCAGGAACAGCCCAAGCAGCACTGAGCAAATGGAAGCGTATTTCCTAGTGAGCATCAGCGGTGAATAATTGAATAATTGGGACTAGTATGTAGTTGTAAAATTAAGTTAGCCTCTTAGGTCGTGATTTACTAAATTATTTTCATGTTCTATAAATGTTTCCAAACTGTGGCATCACAGCTCCACCTTGTGGTTAAAATCTACACATGCGCATCTAATCTAAGCAGGATGCAAAAACTTTCATTTTCTTTTAGTTGTTGCTTCAAAGTTAGTGCAAACGAAAAGCACAGAGATGATGTTCTTAACAGTTCTTTTCAAATATTTTTGCTGTGATCTATATCGGTGCTTT